GCGTTTAACAAGGATAGTCCTATAAGAGTAATGATTGCGCCGATGTTGTTCTTTCTGGGTCCAACGTCGTTGGACGTGCTATCACTAGATGGTGGCGGGTTGGACGACGGAGGTGGGAGAGTTGGAGAGTTGGACTTTGTGACAGGACGTAGTAAGGTGGTTTCCCCCTGAGGAGGCCGTGTGGCGACGGCCGAAACCGGTCGGGGTGCCTACCCGTCGGCGATATGCAATCAAGTTTTTTACTCTGTACCTTTGTGTACTTGTGATTACTCAGCTCTGACTTTGTCTTTTGGACTTCGTCTGTTTGCTCAGTCTCACACATTTCAGTCATAACCACTGAAGGCGTATGTGAACCAGCTTGGACAAGGTCGCCGAGCAAGAGTGAACATACTAAGGTGCTGTCGCTGTGATGTTCTTTGTTTACTAGTTACCGGAGATGCTACGGACTGTGAGAAGACCGAGGGAGGTGACGTTTTTAGAGTCGTTTGGGAGCAGTGTGTTTGGCGAGTTTACGAACGTGTGACCTTTGAACGTACGACGTGGGATTCGGATGATCAAGGCGTTGACGACTGCATGTCGTATCGCGCTTTAGCTGTGAGCAACGATGGCAGGAGGAGGGTATCGCGGATTTGGTCGAGACCAAGACCGAGATCGATACCAGGACATAAGACGAGATTACGGATCGGAGGAGAAACGTGAGAGGACTAGGGAGGTGCGTGGTGATCGGCAGAGGGAGTACGATCGTGGACCCTACTACGAATGGAGCCAAGACTACAGAGAGCAGCCTAGGAGATCAGCCCCAGTGTGTTTCGAATGTGGGGAACCTGGGCACTACCGAAACCAATGCCCAAGGCTGGTCGGGGAAGGCAGTTCGAGGGTGGGGATGATACGAGGGCGATCATTGTCTCCCAATCGCCAGCCTCCGGCCCATGGGAAGAGGTCGATGTCGGAAGATCTTGTGGCGAAGCAGCAATTGGTGGATTTGGCAAGCTCGATAGCAAGTATGAGGGAGATATTCGACAGGGAGCAGGAAAAGAAGAATGAAAAGGCAAGGCGAAAGCAAGAGAAAAAGGAGAAGGAGGAACGGGAAAAGGAGGAGCGTCTAGCTGCGAAACGCCGCGAGGAAAAGGAGGAAAAGTTACGAAGGGAGGAGAAAGAACGTGAGAGATTTCCTAAGGAGATGCGTATCATGATGCAGATCTCGATGGACTTAGGTGGTCTTAGGGAACATCTACAACGCAAGATCGATCGAGTGATTGCGCTTGCAAAGGGAAAAGGAAAGGCGGAGGCGACTCACTCAGATGCCGATTCATACGAATCGGGGAGCAGCGATGTTGAAGCGCTGAGTAACCAAGCGGAGAGGCTGGTGATGAGCGAAAAACGGAAGCGCGGACAGGAGACAGTGGTGGGTGATAGCCCACCCATGAAAACCCCTACGAAACGATCTGCAAAGCAGGGGACGCCAGACCCACTACGACGCACCAAGCGTCTCCAACTGAGCTGCCGCCGCCCGCCGATGAAGAAGACTCCCTCGAAGATGACCCCACAACGCAGCGTGGGGATGAACAAGATCCCAGCATCGGTCGGACCGATGGGGAAACTGAAGTTCGTAACCGAGAATCTGAAGGTACTGGGAAACATGACGATGGACCAGTTGAAGGAGGTTTGCCGACTGGAAGACGTCCAATTTGAGACTAAGAAGATGGAGACCATCCTCGCTATTGCCGACAAGCGTGCGCAGATAGCTTACGGCTCAGACCAGGAGGATGTGGAGGAACACGAGGTGGGGCATGAGGACCCAGCCGCTGAAGAAGTTGCCGAGCCGGAAGAAAACGAAGGAGATGAGTCTTGAAGCGTCGGGCAGCTATGGAGACTATGTCGGGCCGTGATACATGTTCGGAGAGAGTTCCCCTCCGATGTATCCTTGGAGAGAGTATACCGGTTAGTGGTTATGCAGTTAGCCTTGACAAATCAGATCAGGTGGCTAAGGAAATGTACGGAGTCATGGGTCAGTCTTTTTGTCCGCTATGGTCTTGACATTTTCCTGCGAGAAGGTACGAGAGTTTATCTGATTACCTCCCCACTATGTAAGGCGACATACATAGGTCAAACAGGTCGATCCTTTAATATCCGATGGAAGGAGCACCTGTCTGTCTCCGGAAGAGGCCTTAGGAAGAACCACCTCTACCGTTGGTGGAGAGTGTTCGGAGCTGAATCGTATGTCCTGTTGCCTCTTGACACGTGTAGGACTGAGGAACTGCAGATACTGGAGCAGCTTTACATATGTAGATGGAGCCCAATGCTTAATACTACGGGGAAAGCCAAGAAATGCAGGCATCGGAATTGCCGTGTCAGGAGATGTAAGAGGGAGAGAGTAAGGGATAAGGATAGCCAATGCGCCAAGGGAACCCAGGAGTCATATCTACGGAAGGACGTAGATTGGTGCATGCAGTTAGAGCAAAGCTAGAAGGCGGAGACGAATGGTGCGTTGACCTTTGTCGACTCCTATTGCAGCAGGAAACGGGAGGACTTCGAGCGTTCCGCTTGCTCACCCAAGGAGGGAACAACTGGTGTGGAGGCTGGAAGTCAATCAAGTCAGCCTTTGGTAACTCTGTTGTGAAGGTGGATGGGCAGCGGAGGAGACTTCACAACTGCAAGCGGCTACTGGAGCAAGGTACTGATTTGGAGATTTGTCAACTAAGAAGGTGGAAGCCAAAAATAGGACCCGACAAGAAGTTTTTCGTCACAATTTTGCGGAACCCAGGTGATTTGGCGAAGCTGCCCCAATGTAACTTGGAGGCACTGGTACGCTTGATGGATGCGGCAAAGGACTTTCAGCGGGCATCGACTACAGCTTATCTACGCAGGCACATAGCGCGAGCTATTAAGACGAGGTACTGGTGGAGCATTAACTCCAGGATCATAGTCCGACTGAGGTACGACGATCGAATCAAAGTAGTACAGGTAAGGAAGGTGCTGAACGATAAGATTGAGTGCTTGGATATTCCTACCTGTATCAAGAACATTGCACGTAGTACGGTCCGAATCGTGTGGGTTAAGAACCCATCGGTATCGGACATTCTACACAATCAGCGCGCGTTTGCACGCGCTGAAGTGTCAACCTGCACTTGTGCAGGTTTTCCCTACCCTAGAGTAGGTGGCCACGTGCAGGCTCGGATGCAGGATATTGAGGGGGTCCATCCGCTCATCTTAAATGCAAACAATATTCCTAAACAGTCGCACCCTAATCGATGCAATTTGCTAAGGAACGAGATGGAGCAGGGTCTGCAAGCCTGGGCTAATCGAAGAGGCGAAACCCCAACCATTCTCCAGTCTGAAGTTATGGGATGCATGATTGCGTCATCTGATGCGGGGTTAAATACCTCGATGTAGCAGACGTTAGGAGGCTGGGACAAGAGATGTCGGGATTGGTCCTGACTTCAAGAACGGAAACATACCAATCCTGGGGGAGCAGGGAGCAAAAAAGTGATGTGGTCTGCAGCTACCTCCATCGCATTGATATGAACACGAATGCACGGACCGAAATTCCGATGCGAGTTCTGAACCTGAAACGAGAACTCAGGCTAAAAAGCTTCCCTACGCGATTTCTGCAGAGAATTTTGCGAAGCTTCGCGGTGGGTCGTGACCAGATTTGGGCAACCACCTACAACTGGTTGTATCAGTAGGATGATTTTCTCATGGCTGCGTGTAAGTTTTGTGGATGCATGGATACGGAGACATGGTCTCATCGGCATTAGGATTGTTTAGCTTGATTTGGGTTTTGCTTCTGTTTTGGTTTCTTTGCCTTTCTTTTGGTCTCGTAAGCCGGGTCTGATTGGTCTCGTAAGCCGGGTCTCATTGATAATAGAGGGACAGGGTTTTATCGATATGGAGACTAGGTTTCATTGATGATAGATTAGCTTTGATTTTTTTGTCTCCTTAATTTTCTGATTTTCTGATTTTTTTGGATTTTTTTGATCTTTTTTTATCCTTTGTTTTACTGTTTTTTACTGTTGTTTGTGGTTTTGCGGCAAAAGGCGGCTTACGAGCTTCGAACCCCTGCCCTGGAATGTAGAGGGACGGGTCTGCTACTCTTTGTCATTTCCTCCATTTCGTTTGGCCTCTGGGTATATTTCTTTCGT